AAGTTGATTTGCAGCTCGTCGCTTTGATCATTGTCTCCACAATGTCAGGTCGAAGATGGATAACTTCTAACAGGGTTTGCGCCACTCTGATCTTCGGTTTCCATGACTTGCGGGAATTTCGACTGTGTCGTTGGGGTGGTCAGACAGCCTGCTCCTTACGTTGGCGATCTATTAGCGGGTCTGCGGAGGTCCCTTGGGGCGGCGACGTTTCCTCCTCTTCAAATATCGTCTCTTGTTGGGGGACAGATGGCTTGGTTGTTTCGTTGGACTGTCGGGTCGTTCCTCCATCTTCGCTCTTTCTCGCTTCTATCTGGACAGTCTTCTTACCTTCTTCGTTGTGTCATCCTGTCGGCTAGAAAATGTGGTGAGGTCTGGTAGCCTCTTGTAGAATCCTGTCGACTATAATGTGATGAGGTATCCAGTCGACTTAAACTATGGTGTGTTAACCGAGATGAACAGTCAGGATAAGGAGTTTTCCAGTACCTCTCTGCACCTTGGAAGACTTTTAAAAGTTCTCAGAAAGTACAGGCAGTCGTGGTCGAGGCAGAGTGGAAAGCTTGGATGTCCATACACAAAAAACGAAGACGCAGTTGCACTAAGAAGGTTCCGTGAACAGATTAAAGTTGAGCTAGGAGCGAAAGATGGGGAGATAGAAGTTTCTTACTGGTCTACATGATGGATGAGATGGACCTGGGGTACAACCGACGAGAGGTGACGCAGATGCTGAACTGACTGTCAAGTGACTGTAAAGTGACTGTATTTATAGGTTAAGACGGGGGCCTTTTATATATTTTTCCGAGAAAAGAAGTATTGCATTACAGCATTTGCGACAGGGGCGTGGACCGTCTGGCGAAATTAGACACTGACGCCGTGGAAGTTTCCATCTTTAGACTTTGTTGTTTTGGGAATACTATATGCTCGATCTCTGCTTTAGCTCAACTCTTAATCTATTACAGAGTTTATTTATTTATCCTCAGTTTGTACAAAGTACATTTCATATGATGAGGTAATGCCACATGTTAATCATGCGTATAATCATTTACAGATGTGATTCTATTATACAACATGAAAATCTTGTTATAAGTTATAAACAATATGGGGTTGTTGGTTTAAATTACCATATATATATATGTATATATAGATAAATGAGTTTTAAAAATTGTAAAAAAAAAATGCACCGGCCGGGAATCGAACCCGGGTCGCCCGCGTGGCAGGCGAGGATTCTACCACTGAACCACCGATGCTTATGTTGGGGCACGTTTTTGTAACCATACCCCAACAGAAGATGTATGTATGATCAACGTCAAATGGATACATGGCTTCCCTCCCACATAGACTTATAGACCACCTTTTTGCCCAGAAACCTAGACTCTTGATGACACCAGACCTCCATGCCAAAAGCTGATGCCTGGTGGAGAAGAAGACACCAGTGACATCCAGAGACATCCGCGCTGGAAGCTATTGTACCATATGTACATATATGCCCCTCATTTAAAATCTAGGTAAAGGTGACCAGAAGAGATGGGGAAGGAAGATTTCTAAAGGACGGGGGGCCATATAAAAATCTTTCCCGAGAGCGGGAAGCATCGTGTTACAGTCCAAGGGGAAGGGGGCGTTATATATAACTTCCCGAGAAAAGGGACGATCGTATTACAATCCATGTGGAGGGGGCCTGGGGTCTGATGAAATTTTACACTAGTGCCGTAGCTGTTTCCCTCTTTAGATTTTTTTTTTGTTTTGGCAATACGATATGTTCTATTTTGATGGGAGAGGCCTGGGGCGTCTGTGATCTACTTCCGCCAGTCGGGCCTGAGACGTAGAGGAGACCAGACCTTGCCGCCGCTTTCGAGAGAAGGTAAGCCCCCGCCATTATTGCTTAGCTCCCCCTTTTATTTTTCAAATAGAAACTAAACTATTTAGATTTTGAATGGGCCCTAAAGGGCTTTAAGGGTTCATATATCTTGTCCCGCTAGAATAGATGGAGATCCATGTTTTCCCCTATATAAAGAAGAATTTGTAACCTTAAGTCACCTCTACCTAGATCATTATGTAAATAGCATGTCTCGCCAGTATAAAATGTCCCCAAAAATCTCGCCTAATCCGAATAAATATCTAGTATACAACTTATATGGAGAGTTTTGTTTCCCCTCATACATTTTTCATTCTCTTGTTGTATGGTACTACCCCCACACCCTATTATCACAAATTGTACTGAATATAGACTACCGACTCTGATGGAATAGAGTTGTGTACTATGTCTTTGCTGTGATATGTTGACACAGCAACAGTTGCAAAATACGACTTCATTAGGGCTGCTTTGAGGGTATCTCTCTGTCAGGTTTTAGTAATATTTGTATCCTAATGTGAAGAATTTGTCCTTTCTTTCACTGTTTAAAGCGAAATATAGTATGATTCTTATCTATTTGGAGGGAATGTTACTAATAATCAAGTCTTCTAATAATTACTGGCCAACATACACTGCCGAACGTGCCTGCCATAAGAGCCTGTTCTCCTGTCTGTGTTTCAGTGAGTTATTCCATCATATTTACCATTATACCATCTCTTGATTTAAATCTAATAAGACCCATGTCGCCTTATACTCCTAGATTGTTCTCTTTATGATTTTATTGTAAACCCTTTTGTTTAAAAAAATATTACAAATGTCATCGTCAATAATATTAAGTCTATAGTTTGCTTGTCTTTATAGCTTACTTGTTAGATTTTGGTATAATCTTTACAAGTAGGGTCCCTCCCATATATATCCAGATAGTAACCTAATTCCAATATCTTAACCTCTGCGAAATCTTTATGACAAATAATAAAACTCCGAGGTTGCGTTTTTTTTTTTTTTTAACCGCTTAATAAGGCTCTAGCTTTCGGGTATGGTGGTCCTTCTACAGGAACAACGCGATGGTGGTGAATCGTTAGAAGCTGCTATATATTTACCTAATATATTTACATCTTTACAAATTTTTTTTTATAAAAGAACTATTAACTTCTTGATATATGCTAAGTATCCAGACTATTTACGTATTTCTAAATTAAGGTAAAAACTATTATATAATAATTTAACTTATGAAATTTGAATTAGCTATGGAACAGGGTTATGAAACAAGAGTTATTGTATTAAATATGGGGAAGTGTACGTTTAATTGCTAGTTATGAATTCTGTGTATGATTCTGGAATTTCAATGTGCCTATTGATGCTGGCGTGTTTTAATGATAAAAAGGCTTCTAAGCATAGTCTTTTCTGTCCGTTGTTTATATTGGTATAAAAGGTTTTTGGGTTACGTAGGTTGAAGGTGTGACCTGTATTTTGAATGTGTTGGAATAAAAGGGAATTTTTCTATCCTTTCTATTTATGGATCTGATGTGCTTATTCATTCTATCTATTACTTTGTCTGCCGGTTTCGCCTATGTACATACTATTGCATTGGTTGCATTCAATTGAGTATATTGCTTGACTGTTGTATATTGGTGAGTTATGGCTATTTTTTTTTCTCTTTTTTTTAGTTATGGGATTTCTGACTATTGCGCCTATGTTGGGTGTGTTTTCGTAATATGTCTTTATACCATATTTCCTAATTCCTCGGGCTATTGTTACGCTGTTAGGAGGGTACGGTATGATGCAAATAGATTTGTATGTTTGACTATTGTTTGTGTTATTTGGGTTATAAAAATGCCTTAATATGAATCTATTTACAGTTGATCTGTAGAAATTATAGAGATCTATTGCTATAATTTTCCTCTATGAAATAGCTCCCAGTGTCTTCAGTGGGTTGCTAAATCGCCAGAAGGTGTGGTTATCCCAGAAATCTCTTAAAGGGATAGTTGAGACAATGAGGGAGGCAGGGGAAGGGGCCGCCATTTTCTCTTTCATGGAAGAAGAAGGAGGGCGGGGGAGAATGGTCGTTGGACTCCCACATTCCAGAGACTTCGTTAGTCCCAGAGACCCCGACGCTCTATATACATTCCAGGAAGGACCTGTCAACGGGCCCCCCTCCCTGACGCTGGGCCTCTCTTGGGGAATTCCACCCACGCCTGGCGTGGTTGAAAGTTTTTTTTTTTTTAGGAGCTGCAATTCTCAAGTCCTTCTGTACCTTGTATATTATCTGATACTCCATCTCCTCAAGTATAGCCTTAGCTGTATAGGTCCTATATATATTTGCCTATTCCTATGTCACACTTGTATATCTTAAGAAGGAAATTTTACTAGGTCACTCCTTACATGCTCCTTTCCTATCGGTCTAAAATCGGGAACGCAACACTTATAAAAAATGGCCATATTTGGGTATTCATTCCATTTCGGATTACTCCGCGTAAAAAAAGTTCTTCAAATGAAAAAAAGAAATAGCCAAAAATACTAATCAAAATGTAGCCGAAAATTTTCCTCAGGTTTATAAAAAGCGAAATGCAAAACTTGGTACCAATTGGTTCAGTAGTTTTTGAGTTTATCGCGAAACAGACAGACATTGACTTTTATATATATAGAGATACTAGCGGATGTGTACCCGGCTTCGCCCCGAGTGAAAGTTTGCCTAACGAATATTATATATTATGAAGTATAATAAACAATGCTAAAGATTAGTTTTAATTATTAATCAAGATTGTGTGTGAATATGTGAGAAAGATGTAATATCGTTGTTGTTTTCTTGGCCAACTGTTTTACATATGGTGTTATCTTAAAATTGCTTGTTTTGAATATTTTTTTAGATTGAGTTGAATGAATTGCAGATTTTTTTTTGTATTTATATATAAATAAAATTAACTCTGTTGAATTTTTTTGTATTTTATCGATAACAGCAAAGTTATATATTTTAAAGTTAGGAAAAATATTTTGATGTTAAGCAAAACCTGCTCCATCTCGTTTTACATAAATGTTGAAAATTTGGTCGAAATTGATGCATTGTAACGAAAGTTTTTAGCGAACACCACTTGTGAAATTTCCATTTATATAGAAGATATAATATAAATGAGTTTTAAAAATTGTTAAAAAAAAATGCATCAGCCGGGAATCGAATCCTGGCCGCCCGCGTGGCAGGCGGGCATTCTACCACTGAACCACCGATGCTTTAAAAAAATCAAATTCATTTATCGTCGCGACCAGTGACTGGAACTAACGCTTTTTGGTTTTTTATTTTTTAAAAAAAGCACATTAACTTTTTTAGTTTTTTGAATAGCCTATATATTAAACGAAATCTTCAGCTACCTACATGCGAAATTCCATAATGATTGAGTCAGTAGATTTTGCGTGATGCGATAACAAACATCGATTTCGCATTTCATTTTTATATATATATAAGGATAAGGATTAAAAATAAAGAAGACATATACTGATCATGTGCTTTTTAGATGGCAGAGCGCCATCTAGTGGAGCAAAAATAAACTAAACGTTACCCCATCCCACACTATGGACTGGTGTGGTTAAGACTGAAGACTTCAGGATTCATCAGCACTTCACAGTTGTTGTTTATGTTGTTCTTTGTGCCTATTTGATCACGCAGAATGCAACTGAACTAAGTATTTATTTATTAACATCTATTTATTATAACATGGTTATATATCTAAGAGTGTTTACAAATCGAGTCGGCCGTGTTGCTGGATCAATCATAACATGTTTCCTTTAAACAAAAATAAAAAGGATTGGAGTTCTCCTAGTCTCTATAATGCAAAGGTTTTCTCACTGTTCTACCACTGCGGGTTCGCACACTAGGAGAAGTAGATGATTCTTCACCTTTCTTGGCAACGTTCTCCCTTGGATCATATGCTCTTCTGTTTTCAGAAGTGGGTCTTCCATGATCTTGTATGTTGTCATCCATGGCTGTCCCTGCTTGAGATCCAGGAATGCTTGGACTTTGACTTGTTGGGGCAGAGTCTTCTACACTGAACTTTCTCGGTCTAAGGTGAGACCTGTTCCTGCGGTATTCAGAACCACTTGGTGTTTTCACCATATATGAGCGTGGAGTTTCATGCTTTGCGGTCACTGTTGCCGGAACCCATGAGGCGTGGGTTCGAATCCCACCGCTGCCACCATGTTGTTTATGTTGTTCTTTGTGCCTATTTGATCACGCAGAATGCAACTGAACTAAGTATTTATTTATTAACATCTATTTATTATAACATGGTTATATATCTAAGAGTGTTTACAAATCGAGTCGGCCGTGTTGCCGGATCAATCATAACAACAGTCACTAGACCTCTGCTGCTTTGATGGAAGAAGGGTGGACAAAAATAGGTTGAGTGGGGTTTTTGGTGATTCATGGCATATATATGGGATCAAGAAGGTGTCGAAGATGCCATAACAGGCATAAATGTATTGAAATGCTATTCCAAAACTTGTATGACTGAAAGACACACCAATTTCCACGCATACCTACTATCATCATTATTATACCTTAAAAAAACGAGCCTAGCGATCGCGACAGGCGACTTTTGTTGTTGACATAAATGAAACCATCGAGGTTCTTACAAATATCAGACAAAGTGCAACGATCTGAGTATGCTGCAATGAGAGGGATGCTGTGAATGCAAATTTTTCAGCATCTTATAACTCTTGTGGCGTTCTAAAACTCCTTTTTAGCAAACGCAAGCATAATGGAGCTTACAAAGAAGCGCATGACACCAACACCAAGGGCTTGTCTGAACTCCCTATGAATTAATCTTTCATATACCCCATCGCGCACAATATATTTTTTCTTCATAACATAAAAAAATTAATACTAATATATTAGTAAGGTAAAAAAAGAGTATCTTTTAATTCTAATCTCTTCTTCGCTCCTTTAAGCTTTATTTGAAAAATTTAATTGATGACATTCATAAGAAAAAAGTGAATTTTATATTTTATAACGTGTGTTCTCCAAAATTCCAAAATATAAGTTATTTAAATTAGTAAAATAGTTGAATTTCAAAGGGAAACTTTACCAGTACACCTTGTTCCGCATAATAAATTCGCACTTTTTAATATAGAATTTGAGGACACTGTTGTTCCCTAGGTAACAAAAATAATCCATTTTAAATATCTTTATTTTTATCATTAAGAGTAGGATTATTCATTTGAATGTAATTTTGTTAGTTGTATGTTAATATACAAATATTCACTTATTTATACAAAGTAAAATTACTACTCAACAGGACCTCTTTTACATCAATAATAAAAATATATATATACTCTTTAGCGCAAACAAAAAAAAAAATATCATCTAAAAATGAATATGTTTTAAAATATAAAAAAATAAGCAAAAAATCAAATTTAAAAAATTGTCTAAATTAGGAATGGAGTTAACAAATATCAAAGAAAATTATGTGGGTATAGGAATGTCACCATATATAATAGATAATTTTTGGAAGGTCTCTTGTGTAGACAAGCTTACAGATTTCTTATTCCTAACCTAAACTTAATCAAAAATAACCTAGCCCCTAGCCTAACCCCATAATAATTTATAAACATTTTACACTAAATCCTTCAGGGTTAGTAAATCAGTAAGCTTGTCCTAAGACCTCACAATTATTTATACGTTTTGTTGATTTTAAAATACTTTTGACAAAAAAAAAAAATGTTGACATTTTTTTTCTTTTAATTAAAATAATTTCTTACTTCCCTCTACTGCAATGTGAAAAATACTTTGGTAGTTTCTGGCTTATCAATCATGCACCCTTCTAGCAGCTTCCCAGTTTATTTTTGTTCCACTAGATGGCGTTCTGTCATCTAAAAATCGTAGTCAGGATATGCCTTTTTTGTTTTTTAATATCAATACCTGACCTTTTTTTAAGAATTATTTTTAACATATATATATATAAATGTGTGTATGTGTGAAAATAGTACAAAATTGAATTTGTACTTGGATCAGGTGGATATATTAGGAAAAAGGCATCTCATGATCATGTAACTAAATATATATATATTTATACCATTAAGAAAAAATATTTCAAAATTTATATATTAATAGTTGATATTCATTATGACAGATGGCGCAAGCCATCAGCAACTTTTAGTTGCACACTCAAGAGATGGCTTTTTCTTTAAAAATATTTATATTTTAATATATGAAGTGTCATGGTTATTATTTGTATGCAAATATAGTGAAACCTTGTAATAATTGAAACTTGGTATTAACATCATAATCCCAAGTTTATATATACCCAGGTTTTAAGTCCCAATTATTTTATAGTGAGAGAGGTTCAATTTTATTAAAGTATATTTTTAAAATATAAAAATATTGAAATATAAAAAAAAGGCTAACATTTTTTTTTCTCTGATAAAAAGTAACCATCTCTACAAACTAGCCGATACTGGACAGTGACAAAGACACAACAGTAGTCTTGGCAAATTCAGAAAACACACCTGAAAACCATGGTTTTGGGCAATGGTCTTCATCAGTCTAAGATGGGCTTAGATTTCATGAGATCTGCATGGGATTTACAAATTCTTCAGAATGGTGTTCAGCTGGTAAAGGTTTTGTGACTGACCCAAGTCCACTTGTTTGGACAGGCCCTCCATGATTTGCTAGAAAATCTCTCAGCCAGCATTTTAGGTCATTTAGGTATTATATATATTTATATTTTAAAAAGGCATATATTGGATTAAAATTTTATTCAATCCAAGATATGCCTGTTTATTATCTATAGATTTGAATATGGATTGCGCGCTCTATTTTCAGAACGATATACATGTATATATTGAAGAGAGTGGTTCCTCTCTCTTTTGGTATACTTATATATATCCCTATATATATATATAAAAGTCAGTGTATGTATGTTTGTTGGCTATACACGTCCACAATACGTAATTAATCTGGCTGAAATAGAGTTGAATCTGGAAAAATTTATAAGCAAATTTTCAGCCTTCTATCTCAAATATCCTTTGAGTTATTAACAAATTATTAATAAATTTTCCCTATTTCACTCGCAACCAGCGCCTCACTGCGGCAACTTTGAGAAGTTTTAAGGATATATCAGATTTAAAATATATTTATGTAGGATTTGATTAGGAAGAAGCTGGTAACATGGAAGCAAGAAGAGTAGAAGACGCGTTAACGATGACAACCGAAGTCTAAGACTTTTTTACTTTCACATTTTAAATTTTGTTTTAAAATTGTAAACTTAAAAATAAATCCATTTATATCTATTCTGATTCCTACATTAATATAAAAATCAAAATAATACCATTTTCAAATATCGTTGTGAAAATTTACATTTTTGTTTTTATATTTTTAAAACACAAACAGTTTGGAGCGGGACGTTTCACAAGAGTGACATCCACGGCACCAATTTATAATTGTAACAAATAGTATTTGAATAAAAACCTTTTAAAAATATATACGCACTCAGGTAAAACCCAGGCGTTGCCCCGGTCATTCAGCTAGTTAATAATGTCAGCTGTATTACATGATACAGGAGTCCATTTTCATTAAAGATTTCCTTTCAGCTCTGTCAAAAATGCTGGTTCCACTTTTGCATCCCTGGGAAATGACCTCTCTAATAAGGTTGCCTCTAATTATTAAGGTCTCAGGGGGTCGGTGGAACTCTGGTTAAACCGTTTGGTTTTCGACCGCTACGACCCGGGTTCGATTCCCGCATTGGACACTTTTTTCTGATAAAAAAAAAGAAAATGCTCCAATGGCCCACGATTCTTGCAAAAGTCCAACCCCACCAGCGAGTGCAAGTAACCAAACGGGGCTCTGGCACATTTGTAAGTGCAAAGTCGAACTGCTTTTTACATGTGTAGACATGTGGTGCGCTTACAGTAAAAGCAGTCGCTAACTACCCACCATGATTATCATGGCCTGTACCACGTGTACTAGGGATAATTTAAAAAAAAAAAAAAAATTAAGGTCTTAAATCTATCTTTCCCATTAAATAATTAATAAAATGAATTTTACTTACTAGACCCTCATCAGAGAACTTTTTAAAAATATCAAAACACAGAGGACTCAATATTTTACTTTGTATAACAAATCCAGGTAAAACTTTCATCATAAACCAATGCAATCAACTATAGAAGCCTTCATGGATATTTCCTAAGCCTTTGAAAGAGTGAAGAGAAAAACTAATTCTCAAACTCAACAAATTTAA